ATTTGGTAAGCTTGGCAAACTCAGAGGTGGGTGGTGGGACAGGGGGCACTAGATCCTTGCCAGACAGGGGTAGAGATGAGGGTAAGGTGGGCACCACCGGGGAGGGGGAGGCTGGGGTGGTGAGTGTAGCAGGCTTGGATTCCATCCCTTCGGTCCCCGGAGTCTCTGGAGTTTCCTCCGACTTGTCCTCCTTACTACTCAGATCCTGCACACTGTCCTCATCCAAACTGTTACTGCTCTGAGGTTTAGGATTGTTGAATTCCTGAGATGATGATTGTGAGGGCAAAACTGGTGGCAAAAATGGCAGGGGAGAGGTGGTGGGGGTGCCTCCCATGTTTACTTGTAACTGTAGTTGCTGAATCAACTGAAGTTGCAAGATCTGCTGCTGCTGTAAATTGAAAAGAGTGGAGTGCAACAAAGCAATTTCTGCTGGTGCTAAATTGTTCTCAGCAAACTGGGCCACTGCTGCACGAGTGGCATTCATGGGCTCCAAGGTGACATTAGAGTTTGTGGGTAGGAATTGTGAGAATGGGAACATGAGGGGCCCTGGGAGGGCACCTGTTGTTTTGTCTTTATTGTCCTCGGAACACTTCTCCTCACTCTTACTGTCCGTCATGTTATTGTTCTCCTCATCCTCCTCACTGTCCCCAGAGATTTCCTCCTCTGCCGCCGCCGCAGCATTCATCATAGAGATCTTCATCAGGTCCTCATCTATCTCCTCATTGGCTATTTCCTGGTCCTCGGCATCCATTATTTCATTTTCGTCGTCATCAAAATTATCCATGAAGTCTGTTCCTTCACCGTCCGACCCCCCACAGTTATACTCCTCAGGGTCAGAATATCGCGGAACTTTTAATGGCGGGTTCAGATCACCAAAGTCGGGGTCACTGTTTTCAGTGTTTTCACTGTCTTTACCCTCGTAAACCAAAACAACTTTACTGCTGCACACCTTTTTATGAGACAGGAACTCCTCCAATCCTAGGAACTCCTCCCGACATTTTCCACAGACATGGGCATCTTCAGAACTCGGACAGGAAGTAGTGACAGGGCTAGGCTCGGGATCTACGAAAAGAATTCAAAGATGATAATTCATATCAGATAATACTGAGGAAAGAAAAATAGGAAAGAAGACAATTTCTAAAAGAATTTTTTTATGGAGTTTTATTTACAAACATAGATACTGTAATAAGAGTGTTGCAGATTAATTTAATAAAGCGATTTATTCTTTTTTAACATATAGAAATACAGCACCATATGTCAAGTATTAAATGCAGCAAAAATCATATTTATGACATAGCCATACATGATACATGTAAATTTAAAGCTAAGTTGTGTACTTATGCTTCATCCAACTAAAAAAAAAAATAAATAAAACTTTTCAGATGCCATATGTCTGCCCTTGTCTCTTTCATAAGTGCATTGTTGTGAAAAGACTGAGTTGTCTCCCCTTGGCAATAAGGAAAAAATGCAATTTTTATGGTCCTTTTTGTTTAATATAATCATTTTTATGTTAAGATAATTCATAACTTAAATGTTCTAACCCTTATCAGAATTTTATCTGCAGTTTTGCAATCTTACATCCATGCCTGTAGGGTATTTGTACCTGTGACACATGGTAAGATACCAAATAATCATTATTTTTGTATTTTTATACTTATCTGATATACAAATAGATAACCTTGATAAAAAGCTACATTTAAATTTTTCTTTTCAAAAAGCATTATTTCACATATATTTTTTTCCAGGAGTCATAAACAATATTTTAAATGAAGGATGTATTCCAGCCCTAAAGCAAAGAATAGGCAATATGTTAATCAGAAAGAGAGAGAAGAAAAAAGTTTTATCTTTTTATAGTGGGCTTCCTCAAATATTTTACTGGTTTATCAATGAAATATAGGATAAATGCATTAAGACTGATTTACTTAATTCCTCTTCTTTCCCTGCATTATCTTTTCTTTCCCAAAACATATTCCTCAAGATTTCATTAAAATCGGATATACAATAATGTTGTCTTCAATTGAGCGAATCTGCCAGATACTGGTTTCCCATTCAAGCAAGTAATTCCTAACTATCTGATGAAATTTAGGGAGATCCTTTCCAAGCTCTGCTCAGATTCATGGGAAAACTTTGCAGTACATGTGATGTACGTGTACTTTTTAATTTACCTATTTAATCTTAAAGTTCAAATCCATCTCAACAGTAAAATTAGGGGGAAAATGTCAATTTTTAAACACTTTGAATTTTTTTAACAATTACAGATTGGAACATTTCTACATGTAAACTTCCAAATTCTTTAGAAAATTATCTATCAACAAAATCTCTTTTACCTGTTAAACCTAGAGCAAAGATGAATTTACAGCGAATGAGGGGAAAAAAAATGATATTCATGAATAAAGAGACAGACAGAGAAATAGCTGCACAGACAGAGAGCAATTTATTTATTCTACAGAAAGAGATGCACCTCACATTTTTTTCAGTTAAAATTTTGTTAAAAACAGCAGCATGGTGATTAAAAATTGATGTAATACCATCTTAAGATACCTCAGACCTCAAAGATATGTGCACTAAACCTTAATACCATAAGAAATAATATGAACACCAGTAAAACTTAACAAACATAAAGCCTGTATGTGTGGTTCATTACCTCTTTTTTTCTGCGGTTGGTATAAGTGTCACTCAGCTTTTTGACACTCTCACACCTGGCCACTATTGTTTCATTACCTGGTTCAGTTTTTACATCTTAACTCTGACAAAAGTGAAATATGGACCATTTCACAACTTTACCAACATCATTGACTGTCGCTGCATTGTGTCCCAAAACACCACAAAGGGAATGCATCAACAACAAAGGCCGAAGCACTCACCCTTGACCTACTCCTGTAGAATGAAAAAGGAGATGGCCACCTCCCATCCTAAAATTCATGTCAAAATAATAAAATTATGGCTATTAAACGTCTTCTAGTGTACTTTTGGCTTAGTAGATCTGCCCAGAATCCTAGTGCTTTCAATTTTCCCATGAAATTTTATCAGTTCATTCATATTTAATGTCCCTACAGAACTCTTTCAAAAGAAAATTATTTTGGAAATTCAATCTTAGGATGTAATTTTCCATGTCATAATAGTGATCCGATTATTCGTTCATATTTCATTTTTAAAGCCCTGTTTTCCTAAAGTCTATAATTATGTTGAGAGCAGGGTTCGACATTCGCGCTCGTCACCTCGTCATTTCCACCCTCACATGATTTCGGACGACCTGATTTTCAGTCTGGCTCGCCCAAATGACGACCTGGGACAAGTTGGGAATATTAAGGCCTAATAATGATGTTTAATATTTTAAACTAAACTTCATAAGACCTTCAAAACATGACAGCCGAGTAGATTTTTTTTTCTGCCAAATCTGCGTTCGATCAATCAGCTGATGCAATTTTTACTAAAAGTCTTTAATAAAGTTTTATTTGAGATATAAAATATGCCAACTTAGTCAACAATCACCTTAAATATAAATAGTAATAATCATCATTGTAACATCTTGCATTTCCCCTACAACTTTCTGATCATAATGATGCTAGACAGCCATGTTGGGTGTCCACTGTAATATAACACCTGATTAATTCAGTCCAGGGTTATTTGACCCTATTTATTTAAGCCTTCATGGCAAGTGAAAATGAATATTTTAAGCTACAAACTTTAGCATTCTGCATGTCTGATTCTGCTTATATTTTTGTTTGATAAAATACTAGAAGACATCTTTACATTCCAAAAATGTCTGGTTTACATTTTTTAATACAAAAAACACAACTTCTACTAATTATCATAACAAATCTTAAACAATTTTCACATTAAGTTTTGTTTCAATTGATATTTTATTTGGACGACCTGAAATTCATTCGGGCAACCTGTGATCATATAATTATGACCCTGTGAGAGCCATGACCATCAGATGGATATAAAGTATGAGATCCATTCAAGGATGAACAGAGGGATGAAAAGTCAAGATAAAAACTGACCAGGTATTTTCCATAATCTGCTCTCAAATCCATTTTATTTGAAAACCCATTTGTCATTCTTAGGCACTTTAAAAAAATTATTATGATTTCTCAGTCAAGTATTTCAAGCAATTAAAAAAAATCAAAAGTATATATATCCTGTCAAAATGTCAGTGCTCCAAAATAAACAAAACTGTCACAAAAAAGTATCTTCTTTCATTTTCTAACACAGTTTGAAGTACACTGATACAAGATTTTGACAAGAGCTACTCCCCACTAACAAATATTTCATAATTCGGAAGGGTGTTAATATGAAAAGTTTTGACAACTTCTAAGATTGATTTCAGAGATATCAAATATTTCATGAAGATATTTTTTTGCTCTTCTGCACCAATAGAAAAGGGGACTTTAAAACAGTGATAAAATTTTGGCAGGTTCTTTTTCTGTTACTGATCGCATCTGATAAACATTGGAATAATTGAAAAGGGGTATCCAAACTTATCTGTGGAGGGATGCAAACTTTGACAGCAGGAGAAAAACAATACTTCAAGGCTTATCATGGTATTTTTATGTGGAAACAAACCTATAACTGTTGTAAAAGATGTCAAAATGATTTTTTGCATGGAATAATTGTGCTTTTCTGTGTGTGGGCATGTCAAATTTCATGCCCAGTAGTTATGGCTGTGTAGACTTCCATGCTCTTATTCGGCATCACTTGTTACCAATAACTAAAGTCACATGCTTCAATCTCTTCCTTGAATCAATTAGTTAATGTTAATTTTAGACATATTTTAATAACATATTTCATATTCTGTCGATGAAAATACTTATTAAAGGTTTCATGAGTAATTTTCTCTTATTGACTTTCTCACGGTAAATGCACAAGAATAAAATTGCTTTTGAAAGGATAAAATATAATCTTTTCTCACAAACTACTTATTTTGGAGTGCATGAAGAATTCTGAAAAATGAGTAGGAAAAACCCTTCTACACAGTTAATAATATCATTTTCAAAAATGTTCTACTTTTTATTTTAAAACAGACCCAATTTCTGAACTGTATTTTTGACTAAAGAAACTTATAGATTAGTTCATCTTTCTTTTTTTACATTTCAATAGCCTTCAATAGACTATTAATAAAAAGTTGAGCATATTAAGTCATGAAAATAAACATGGAACATCTGACCCCTCCCATAGACACACACACGCGTATATCGGGCAGTATCGAGACCCACGGAATTGTTCCGTTTCATCTCTCGCCCCGCTTCTGTTTGTTTACCCTGTCAAATGGTTGCATTTCAAAAAGTCAGAAGCTGTTACCTATAGAACTGTAACCAATATTGGACAATATTTGGACAATGTATTTGATTTAAATGTATGCGTGGAGATGCATTGTTACAAACTTAAATCCCCCTTTCATGTCCCACTTAAAGAGAATACATTCACTTTGACTTGACAGAACTCTCTATTGACTTTACAAATATTTCATTGATATTAATATATTTTCATAAAATTTGGCCACTGAATCAACATTGGAATTTCTGGGGCTGTGTTGAAACAGTTGTCATATTTCCCTGAAAAGTTCTCGATTTCTCCACATCCAGAATTGAGTCAATTGCATGTACAGAATTAAATAGGACTAAACCTATACAAATATATTATGTCAATAACTCATATTCTTTTTAAAAAGAAATATTACAATAAACATTACGTGAAATATTTGGTCAAGTTCTTCCTATACACAAACCCTTAGGTCTCCTGTACTGTTCGACTTTTAACAAGTACTAATTTATGAACCCAAAACATTGAGAGTAAAGCTCAGAATGTCATTTATGTGTTCAATTGAGTCCTCTGACATCTTACTTTCTTAAAGTTTGTATAAACTTAACTTTCCTAATATCTGCTGTTTTCCTCAATTCACACTTTCTGAAACATTATCAATATTTTTTGAGCAAGCATACAATAAGTGACCATTTGACCATTATTTGGACACATTAAATATTTGTACGTACCCTAACTAACTGTACTCTTAACTAAAGTTGAATTTCTATATTTTTTTCCTCTGTGATGAACAAATT